TTAAATTAAAATTCAACAGCTCATCATTTCATACTGAAGTTTAGGATATGCTGTTGAATTGCAGAGGAAGATGTTCTTAAAATAACACCCACAATTTTATACAGAGTTAGAATTGGGCAAACTAAATACTATTTAGAAACAGTATTCTATCTCTGCTTAATAGCCCAAGGATGTCTCAAAAGAAGTCCATAGCCAGAATTCTCTAATAGGTTCAATAAAATAAAAGTCACAGAATTAGAAAAGTAAGGATTTGTGAAAATCATGTGACTTCTTTTGGCTAAAGAGAAACAAATGGCAGGGGGTTGGGGTTGTGACCGGTTAGCTCGGTTGGTTAGAGCGTGATGCTGATGACACCAAGGTTGCCCATTTGATCCCCGCATGGGCCACTGTGAGCTGCGCCCTCCCTAAGAAGAGTCAACTATGCCATTGTAGCATGAAAGCAATGTGTAACCAATGACTATGGCTGTTCCAAATAAATAAATATTTTAAAAAAAGAAACAAATGAATACTGAGAAATAAAATACTATACGTGTTTGGGTATGTGTATAGTAGTAATATGGAAATGACACCTCTGTGAAATTTTGCCTGCCTTGAGATTTATCACTGACTTTGAATGCCAAATGGGGCAAGGATCTTAGTTTTTTAAAAACTATCAAGAATAATAGATTTGAATAATATGAATAATTTGAAATAAAGGGCAAAACATTATGAAAAGTAACATTATGAAAAGTATCATGAACAAAGATGTCAGACATGAACAGCAAGAAAAAATCATGAAAATTAAATGACATACAATCTCCAGGTAGCTTTGGTTGCAAGTGACAGAAAACCCAACTGAAACTTCCCTATTTTTAGAAAATTGTATTTTCTCAGTTTGCATAGATTTCTGGCATTGTTATATGAGAGCTCTGGATCTATTGCCTGTGTTTTTCTTGATTCCATACTTTCTAGGGTTGGCTTCATCCTCATTTTGGCTTCCTTCATACTCATAAGATGTTTGTGACTGGCAACTGGGGCTATATTCTTTGTTTATTCCAAGGGAACAAAATGTTCTATTTACTCCCTATAATCATCAAAAAAACTTCTTGAGCTTATTTCTTTCCTTTTTTTTTTTTTAGATTTTTTTATTGGGGCATTGGGCGGGGAGTGACAGCATTGGGGAGTCGGGGTAGGGGAACAGACAAGTTGCTGTCCTTTTGTTCTTCAGCCTAGTTGTGGAGGACGTCACTTCACTGGCCCATGTTGGTATTAGCATTGTGCTCTTCTCAGGTGAGGCAGATCAGTTGCCGGCCATTGGACGGCCGCTCACCACAGCTCACTGCAGCTCACGAAAGTGCACGCCAGCTGTCGGCCAGCCCCACTGCAGCCTACACCAGTGCCAGAGACTCACGGCAGCCCAGCTCCAGGTCGAGCTGCTGTTCACCATCTTAGCTGTAGAGGGTGCAGTGTCACTGGCCCTCATACATGGAATCTGAACTCGTGGCCCTGCTGCTCAGAGCTGGTGTCCCAAGCCAACTCCTATCCAACGAACGTGCCACTCTGCTAGCCCATTGAGCTTATTTCTGATTAGATCACCTTTAAACCAAATCACTGTGTTCAGGGAGTATTTCCATCACTTAATTCACTTAAGCTTGGGCTGGTACCTATCCCTGTGGAAAGTAGGGCGTAATTACCCCAACTGTCTTCATCTAGTGTTCCTCCGTAGGAGTGCTACTGGCCACATCCTGAACTAATCAGTATTGGCTTAGGCCTGAATCAGGTACCAGTGCCTGAACTAATAACCAAGGCAAGAAAATGGAATTATCCTCTATCGTATACCAATCAGAGTCTACTGCTGGCCCTGAGAGTGGGGTTAATCTATTCCAAACCACGCGAATGCTAGACAACTGAGAAAGGGTAAATTTAACGCTGCAGAAGCAACTACAATATTTACTGCCTAGACAAAATGCCAGTCGTTTTTTATAAATAAAAGTTATTACAAATAAGGAAAAGACAAACACAAAATGAAAAACAGCAAAGGATGTGATCAAGAAACTCACAAAAGAAGAAATATAAGTGATCAATACCAATAAAATATAAAAAGATATTCTAGCTCACTAGTAATCAAATACATACATACGTTAAAGTGTGGTTACTTTTTCACATATCATATTTGCAAAAATGAATAACACTCTTCCTATAGTGGATTGTCAAGTGTGTGAGGAAAATGGCATTCTCATATATTTTCAGTCAGACTATGAATTGACAATAAGAACTTTTCTGAAAGGTAGTTTGGCAATTCATGTAACAAGTCTGAAAAACAACATACATTTTTAGTTAGCATTTTAAGTTTTAGGCATTTAATCTAAAAACATTACCCATGAGTTTGCGAGCATTTATACATGTGGTTGTCCACAGCAGCATTGGTTTTTTTTGTTGTTTTTTTTTTAGCTGAGCCATCCTGCCACCTGTTGGCAGCTCAGCGGCTGCTCAGCTCGGGCCAGGAATTGAACTGCTGTTGCTCAGAGCTCGCACTCTTGAGTGAGCTCTTAACCAACTGAGACACTCGGCCGGCCCACAGCAGCATTGTTTATAACAGCAAAGGTTGAAAAACATCCTGAAAATCCACAATTAATTAATTAATTAATTAAGCAGACTATCAAGGTATTTATATTCCAGACACTCTGCTAGATGCTAGGGACATGACAATGAATACAACACACATGCTCCATGTCTTCATGGAACTTGCACCCAGCAGGGGATATGCAAGAATCTGAACACTACAGCAATCATTCAAAGTTCACAGATGCTCATTTCTTGACATGGAAAGATTTTCCCAGTGTGCTGTGTTGAAAGGAAAGGCTTCATTGACTTCTGGATTTACTAGTTATTAATAATATGACCTTGCATAAGTGCTTGACTATTTCATTTGATAGAAGATAATAATACCCACCTCAGATGGTTATTAAGAAGATTAAATGTGAAAATGGCTGGGAAAGAATAGCACAATACCGACATGTGAATAAAATAAATTTTAAGTGGTTAAAAAAAAAGAAGAAAAGGAAGGCTACAATATAGCATGTAGAGCTTGGTCCAATTTCTATAAATAAAACATATATTCACTTATATATATGCACACATCCCAATACATGTATATTATATACATTTTAGCATTATAATATATAACATATATTTTAAACATTTAGGGTAGAACAATAAACACCAAAATCTTAACAGTACATATGTCTGTGAGATGGTATTATTGGTACTCTCTAATTTCATTTTTTTAAGAGTTTTATTGGGGAATTGGGGGATGGGAACAGCACTGGGGAATTGGGGGAAGGGGAACAGACAAGTTGCTGTCATTTTGTTCTTCAGTCTAGTTGTG